TGTCATCTGGTTATTAATATTTCTTAACATCTTTGCCATACTGAAAGGTGGAAAATGATCTCATCATTGTATTAATTTGTATTTCCTTGATTACTAATGTGATTGAAATATTTTACATATTTCTATTTCATATTTTGTACCTATACTTTTACTAATTTATTTTCTTATTGGTCTATATTAATTCTGTCATATACATTGTGACTATTTTCCCAGTTGATATTTGTCTTTGTGTACTATTTATTGTAATAGAAATTTAGATTTTTGATTTCATCAAATATGTTACAGTTTGTATTTGCAACTTCTGATCTTAATTCTTTTCTTAGAAAAGCTTTCCTTATTTCAAGCCTAGCAAATATTCACTTATATTTTATTCAAGTACTTTTAAAGTTTCACTTATTACATTAAGATCTGATTAATCTTAAATTTATTTTGCTATAAAGTGTATGATACATAACTGTGTATGACTTGCAAAAAAAAAGATATTTTCAGCAAGATTATTAGAAAAAGATTACTAGACTTTCCTATTAAGTATAATTTTTTTTTATTTTGTGAGGAATAAAACTGCATAAGTATATAACAAGTTTAATGAGAAGCATTAACCTAGTGAGGTATTGACATGAAATATGATTATTGTCCAGCACTGCTTTTAATAGCTTTGCCATTCTTTACTTACATTTTGACAGACACAATGACTCTGGTCACTTTTAGTTTCTGTAACTTGGTCAAATACATTTAAAAATGCCAGTATTATGTCTTAGCCAAAGATTTCTCCTCCCCCAGGCTGACTGGACTTGAGGTTCTAGGAACTTAGTATGGGGAGGAAAATGTGTCTTACTCATTCATTCTACTTCTCCTCTCTTCTGCCTTAGCTCTTCAGGCAGAGAGGAGAGACATAGGAAATGAATAACATATTTTCAAGTAGGTCTAATGGAAATCTCTTGTCTACTTATTTATCATAACCTTCTAACACATGAGAAATGCAACTCTCTTCAGAGGCTTTTGTGTGAGCTCTTCGGAGATGCTTGCAATCTCACTCCTCTTTAGAGTTCCCTGAACTTACTCCATCTTCTCGGTCCTTCTCTCTTCCTCTTTTTCCTTCTTCAGGGTTCCCTGCACATCCAGATCTAGATCTCTTTTATCCTCCATCTCTTATCATTCCTACCACAGGATGTATATCTCATGGCTTTAACCATGGGAGGTACATCTCATTGCCTAACATTGCTAGAATCCCCTTCTTGGTGGACTGGCTGTCTTTTTGGTTGCACTACTGATGTAACAAAAAGTTTTGCTATCTTTTGCTTGGTTCACAGTTTTTTGCTCTCCCAAATATTGTGAGCAAGATCCTCTCCTCATGACCTATCTCTTGGGCCTGACGACACTCTCCAGTTCTTCCTTCTTCTCTAGATACAGAATAAAAGGACCAATCCACTTCTTGAGAAACATCTGTTTGGTTCTCTTTCCTCAGGCATTCACAAAATTTCATGAATGATTCTCATGAAATCTCTCATTCTCTTGAATCCACTGATCTGTCTCCAACGTTGACTTGTGGAATATGCTCCTATTATATGGACAGGTTCCAAATACTGGTTTCTCTCTATAAAATATGGGGGTACTTAATGTGTCCGTGTTCTTAGTATTGGATCTAAGTGGTCCATGGCCATGGCAAAAGGAAGAATCCCATTATTACATGTATTTGTTCACTTAACTCACTGATTTTTCCTCTGTCTCTCTCCTTCTCCCTCTCCCATTCTTCCTTATCTCCTGTTAAAGTACGTCAGCACATACAATGCATGGAAATTTTGAAAAAGCAAGAAAAATTACTTCATTTTAGCTTGCACATTATAATTAAGGAAACTGAAGCATTGAAAGTTGTGTATCCAAAGTTGTAGTTGAGTTGGAGCTCAGTCCCATTCATTCCCAGGTGTTCATTTTCATAGAATCATAGTCTTTGGTAGTTTGCTGAAATGCTAATTCAACCCCTTAGCCAACCAATATAGGAAGTCATCTAAAACTGGTCCCAGAGATGTTTACCCAGTCACTGTTGGAATATTTTCGGGAGCAAAGAACTGTCCACTTTAAAAGACAGCTAATTCTACTCTTAGGCAACAATCAATTGTCAGAACATTCTTCCTTTGTGGAGCCAGTATCTGACTTCCTAAAGATTCTACCCACTGATACTTGTTCTGTCCTCTGAAGCTACAAATAACGAATCAATAACTTTGTCCGCAGTATGGCTTTTAAGATAACTAAAGACACTATCATGCCCTCCTGACCGTTCTCTTTTTCAGGTTCAGCATACTAACTTGTTCAACTTTTCCTTACAGGAACATGTTTATAGGGTCTTTCTCCACCAATTGCCCTACTATGCATTCACTTGGATTTTCAATATTCTTTTTAAAATTCAGGACCTAAAATGGAAAGTTGATGTTCAATGTGTATAGGGTTTCAGATTTGCAAGATGACAAAGTTCTAGAGATGTTGCACAACAATACGAATATATTTAATACTACTGAACTGTACACTGAAAATGGTTAAGATAGTAAATTTTATGTTATGTACATTTAACCACAATTTTAAAAGAGATATTAAAAAAATCGATTGCCTGGACTTAAACAGAATAATAGTATCTCTTATGTGGAATTTCTACAACAGATCATACTGGGCTTATTACCTTCAGCTATTTAGCTTCTAAGCTACTATTAAGGTAGTTTTAATTTCCTCTCTAATACTGTTTGTTCTTCACTCTCCAGTCTGACAATAATTATTTTTATTAAAAGGATGGAATCCAAAGATACTGAGAAGCTCTTTTTCCTGCAGATGTACTCTTTGTAACTCAGACTTCCTTACTTTGTTTTCTTTCTTATTCCATACGCTTACATTTAAACGTTATGGATTTTGTTTATAAATGATATGCAAGCTTCTGCAAAGTTGTCTTCTTGTTATTCTTATAGGTATGAGACATCATTGTATATCTGTCTTTGGTTACAATTCCTTTTTTTGTTACAATGCTTGACTAGTAGGGCTCTGTCTACAGAAAAGTGGGTGATTGAGCAACCCCTGAGGAGGTATAAAAGCCATAGGCAGAAATGATTGAACACCGCTTTTAGTTCCTTGGCCTAACTTAGCATTTCCCTAATTTCTTGCTCAAGAATGTGAATCCCCTGTGGTTCTTGGTGCTGATGAATATCCCCATGCCTCTACCTCCCTCCCTCAAAGATTCCTATTCAGTTGGTCTTCCATGGAGTCCAGGGATCTGTATTTTGGGAAAAAGCACCTTATGTGATTCTTATCCTAAAATATCAGAGAATTTAAACTCTATGATTTCAACATTTTCTACCAGTTAGAATTTGTTATGGCTATCACAACAAACTACCACAAACATGACAGCTTAAAAAAACAATAACAGAGATTTATTCTTTCACAGTTCTGGAGGCAGGAAGTCCAAAATCAAAGTGTCAACAGGCCTTCCTTTGAAGGCCGTGGGAGAAAAATTCTTGCCATTCTCAATTTCTGGTTGCTATTGGCGTTTCTTGGCTAGAGGGAACATTACTCCAATCTCTGGCTCCATTGTTACACAGCTTTCTTTCTTTCTCTTATCTCTGTCAAATGTCCCTCTCCTTTCTCTTATAAGGACACCAGTTATTGGATTAAAGGCCCACCCTTAATCCAGGATGATCTCATCTTGAAATCCTTAACTTAATTACATCTGCAAAGATCCTATTTATTTGTTTTTAAGGTTGTAGGTCAATTTTATTGCCATCAAAACTATCTAAAACAACTGTTTCAATAAGCAAAACAATCAATTTAGGAGACCGTATATATAAAATGTTTTATAATTGTTACTTACATGCATAGATACTCTGAATCATGCTCACCAAAATATTCATAATGGTGAATTTCCACTGATTTTCACTTCCTT